GAAGCCAAATAAATAAACAAATGAAAAAAAAATTGCCTGACAGACCCCTGTTGTACCTGAGAGGAAAGTGACCTAGATATAACTAACCTGCCTTTTGCCAGTAGTTTTACTTGCTTGTTCCCATTCCTGTCTGCCTGCAAAAGTCTTTCATTTTGTACAGCTCCTCAGAGCTCCTTACTGTCTGCTAGACTGGATGCTGCTTGATTCACAAATTGTTGCATAAAGACAATAAGATTTTTAAAATATGCTCAGTTGAAGTTTTTTCTAAAAAAAACAAACTCCAAGACATCAGTTAAACAGATATTCCTGCAACTTTACTTGCTTTTGTTTTCAAGCCTTTGTTCACATTAATTTTTAAACCTGGAATGTTAGACAAAGTTCTTCCATTCATCATTGAATATCCAAACTTTAAAGTCCTAACTTCCAGGTCACTTGCTCCATAATGTTTTTGCTGATCTACTTATTGAAACTCTTCCCTTCTCTTTTGAATTCCTGAAGTAGCATTTCTTGTACTTACTGCTTACAGCACTTGTTATTTTATTCTCTGCTCTTTCCCCATTGCCCAAAAGATTTCTCAGTTCCCCTCCGTCCTCCCTCAACAGGTACCCTGGGCCCTTCATGTGTCTATGAAGGACTCAACAAATTCTCCCCGAGTAACAGAAAAAGAGTTTGGAGTCTCCAGAGCTGCCCTGATAGCTTCGATGGTAAAGAATCCATCTGCAGTGCAGGAGACGTGGGTTTGATCCCTGGGTCAGGAAGATCCCCTGGAGAAGGGAAAGGCTACCCACTCCAGTATTCTTGTTTGGAGAATTCCACGGACAGAGGAGCCTGGTGGGCTACAGTTCATGGGGTCTCAAAGAGTTAGATGTGACTGAGCAAATAACTCTTTGTTTTTTTTTTAGATGCCAATGACATCACCTGTCATGAGTGGGTTCTGTTAGCATCTCAAATCATTAAAGGAAGTGGTGAGTCCTGAGGGGCTTCTGGGATGTTGACTGGTTCCAGGTGACTATTTGGAAGATTGGAGAACTAAATCAGAAAAAAAAAAAACAAAAACCCACAACAAAACAACAAAAATTCAAAATATAATATTCCTTCTATTTTAAAGAGAACAATATGAATGGCTCTTTGCAAACTGTGGAGTTGAACAACCCCTCTCATTATTCCAGTGAAAGTGAAACAGACATTTAACCTCCAAAACAACAAAAGACTCTGGAAGCCCTAACCTCCCTCTGTCTTGGTGGGCGGCTCATGCAGGGACGGGGGTGCTCTCTGGTGAACCATGAATTGGGTTTCATTTTCTTTTCACACAAAGAATTTGAAAGAAGTCGTTTTCAGCATAAAGTAGCGGATGAATGGGAAAAGGGGGAGGGTTGCCAAAGGAGAAACAGTTTCACAACAGTCTCAGAGTGGAAGATGGTCAGATATATTTGCTTTCTGCATTAAGACAGGATGGTTAATAGAATCTGACAACACCTACATGAGGCAGTAATACTTTCCATCTAAACAACATGCTTACTAAATTTTTGTATTTGTTTTAGTTTACACAAGCCTCTCATATATAAAATAGTGCATGAATAAAAGCCCAATCAGTGCCCAGGATTTTAAATATCACAACAAACTACCCCATTACCTGTTACTTTGAGGCATCTGATCCATCCAAGCAGTTTTCATCCTAATTGTAGTTTTGCCAAAAAATAAAACCATTAATCTCTCCTCCAAATGGTTAGATCATTATCAACCCATTTGTGAGCCTATTCCTATTTAAAGTCATTGTGAGAACTATATCCGACAGTTAAAACAACTTGAAAACCCTTTCAACTCTAAGGCTTTTCTCCAAAACTGCTTTACCTCCTTTGTACTTGGACTTTGCAAACAATTTCCATTATTTTTTCAGTGATTTTATATTCAAGTGAATGTAATTCATCCTCCAAACAAAACTACAGACTGTCTTGATAGCAATATCAAGGGATAAAAGAGTTACTGAAAAAAAACTGGCTATAATTATGAGTTGGGAGAGAGATTATGTGATGCTGCGGGGAAGAAGAATTATGAGAAGGGAGATGGTGTGGGCAAGAAAAAATAGAAACAGAGAAGGTCTGGCACATGGTGAGGGGCAGGGTAGTGATACTGGAGGCCACTAGTGCGCAGGCACGATGTCTTCAGAAAAGGCCAAGGAAGAGAGTTGCTTCCATCATGAGCAAGTGATTCTAACTCAGGAACTGATGGTGACCTTTCGTTTCATGGCCAGTGCCATGTTCTTGCAGCCAACAATGCCAGCTGTTGCCAGGCCAGGGGAGGCACTGCTCTCCACGTCTGTGAGGAGACCGGGGGACCAATCATCACACTTACCCCCGTAACCACCCTTACACCAACAAGCCCTGCGCCTCCTGGCGTGTTCCTGATACTCCACCTGTCTCATCCTCCCCATCCTCTGGCTGGGACTCCTGGACTACAAGAGCTTCCTGAAGGGTCGTCTGGTCCTGTGTCCTCTGCCAATCTGTCTGCCCAGCATGCTGCTGAACCTGCCCTCCCAGCCTCTCACTCCCCAGAGCCCACCACTGCTGGCCCTTCCGATTCGTAAAATGCTCCTTTCCACCACAGAGGCAGTGGAAGCCGTTCAAGTGATTCCTTCTGCTTGCAGGGTTCCTCCCAGCCACACCCCGCCCTCATGCCCACTTTGCATCTTCCTGGTCTTAACTTGAGGGGAGTCTCCCTGCTGGGTGTCCTCTCAGTCATATAGAAGCGCACTTGGAAATTAACTGTTCGAGACTCTCTTCTCTGTCAGTCTGTAAGTGCTTCGAGGTCAGGGCTGCTGGGCCATGCATGTCCCTGTCTGTAATACGGGGGTAAAACAACAACTTAACAGAGTGAGGATTAGATGAGTTCCCTCAGGCAGCGAACTTAACTAGTACCTGATACATGTAAGGACTATGTAAAGCTTTGTATCTGAGTCATTCAGTGGTGTCCAACTCCTTGCGACCCCATGAACTGTAGCCCACCAGGCTCCCCTGTCCATGGAGTTCTCCAGGCAAGAATACTGGAATGGCTTGCCATTCCCTTCTCCAGGGGATCTTCCCAACCCAGGGACTGAACCTGGGTCTCCTGCATTGCAGGCAGATTTTACCCTCTGAGCCATCAGGGAAGCCCACGGAAGCTTTAGCCATATGACAGTAATTGACACAGTAATTAGAACAAAGCATGTACTCAATAAATATATGTCTAATAAAGAAATGAAAACAATGACAGTTGAACTAATGAATTCAGGAATCCAGAGGGCCTTCTTTTTTCCAACTAGCTGTTACCCATAAGACAGTATAGAAATGCCATATGGAGAACAATCACAGAGAAGAATGATTGCTTGTCCCTGTCTACTGACACCATGATCAATGGTAAAAAAAATAGCATCTTTGTTTCCTGGGATTTGAACTTATCCTACTGTGTTGCTAAAGAAATATTCACGGCAAGGAGATCTGGAATGAATGAAGAGATAAAGGGATATGACATCACCAAATACACTCCAGGCTTCTCAGTCTTGTCTCTATGAGCTAAAACGTGTGCTCCTTGATGAGCACCATACTCTTTAGTTATTTCCAAGCTAGATGCATAAGAAAACTATGCATGTCCGGTTGTTCATCTCAACAAATGTTTACACAGAAAATTTCAGCCTAAGTTGCAAAAGGGAAGCTCTTTATCCCTTTGTTCTAGAACATTCCATACTTCAGATTCCTCAATGTCTTCACAAGAAAGGCATTGGTCAACTACACATCATGGGCTACTGGTCTAATAGAAAGAGAAACGTATAACACCAGCCTGGACTTGCAGCATGGTTCTGTGGTTTTTGTAGTGATGGAGCGTGCAAGCTCAGTCGCTTCAGTCGTGTCCGACTCTTTGCGACCCTGTGGACTGTAGCCTGCCAGGCTCCTCTGTCCATGGGGATTCGTCAAGCAAGAATACTAGAATGGGTTGCCATTTCCTACTCCAGAGGATCATTCTCTCCCAGGGGTAGAACCCCCATTTCTTAGGTCTCCTGCATTGGCAGGCAGGTTCTTTACCACTAGCACCACCTGGGAAGTTCGCCGTAGTGGTGGTACCAACACACTTATCAAAAACTACACCTGGGCAAGGCGTGCCTCGGAGTGAGTCCAATCCTGACAAATCCTGTTATCTGACAAAATTGTGTGTGTTTATTGTCCTTTAAGGAAGACTGTGATCATATCCTAAAATAAGTTTGCTGCAGAGAGCTCATTTAGATTTATAAATAAACACTGTTTCATCACATTAGTGGTGATTCTTCTTTCCCTCCTGTATTGGAAGAAGTTTTCTGTTCTTTTCTCTGAAGTTGACTTTTCTACTGCTGCCCTGAGCCCTCTATTTCAGCCTCTGGGACAGTCCATGCTTTTTCAGTTTAGTCATCAGTTTTAGAAACTGGCATTTAAGAGATCTGATAATAATAAAAATGAATTCTGACAGATAAGTTGTTAGAGCCTTCGTCCTTGCACATTTAAAACTACAGGATGCTACGCTGAATTCCATTATGGGGAATGAATTTTTTTTTTTTTTCCAGAATGGAAATAATGGCAACAGTGCTAAAGAATCCACATGCCAATGAAAGAGATGCAGATTCAATCTCTGGGTCAAGAAGATGCCCTGGAGGAAGAAATGGCAACCCACTTCAGTATTCTTACCTGGAAAGTTCCATGGACAGAGGAGCCTGGTGGGCTGCAGTCTATGGGGTTGCAAAGAGTCAGACACAACTGAACTGAGCACATACTTTACTTGGGGTTTTCTGTTATTGCTACTGCAGCTGCTTCTACTACAACTTCCAGACTTTAAGAAATGTTGGTAACATTAAAAACGGTCATATTTATGATGATTAATATAATAATAAAGATTATAATCATTTACATGTTTATTTTTTATATGGAGGTATACTTTGACAGCCTATATTTTTAAATTTATAATTATAGAATCTGTGTGTGTAAGTAAGTGTAACTGACCTGTTTTTCTGTGGAGCAAACTGGATCTGTATGGAGAAGTGCTGGAGTCTAGGGCCTGAGTGGGAGCTGACAGTGGCAAAGTCTTCGGACCGTCCGGGTTCCCAGGTGGGAAGGGGGAGCTCTGGCAGAGTCTCAGTTCACTTCTGTCCATGCTGGAGAGGTGGAGAGCATCCTGAGCTTTCTTCTTCTCCTTCTTTAACATATTTACCAAAATATCTAAAATTTGACTTAAGGATTTAGTCATTCATGATGGATTAGAATAATCAAAACACTTATTTTCAAGTGAGATTGATAGTTTCAACAACACTTGCTATGGTCATGTGACAAAGACAGACGAAAGAAAGACTTCACCTTTCTGAGGTCCTTGATACAGAGACGGACAGTGTGGGAGGATGCTGGCCTTTCAATAGGGCACCATTATCATTACATGAAAAATGAGCTAGCCTAAAGGTCTTTAAAATCTTTGAGTTCAAACTAATCTGGGCTTAAAGCTTTCATGAAAGCGTTTGTAAAAAGGAAAACGAACCTTGGGTAGACAATGGAGCTGTCTCCGTAAACAAGACTTGAATGCAGGAAGCGGCTCTGGAATCAGCAGGACCAGGAGCAGGGAGAACGCCTAGCCCGCCCAGCAGGCAGCTCAGCAGAGTCAGCTCTGGTGTCAGACCACCTCCACGTCCAACTCGTGCTCATTCATCGTACCTTCGAACGGGGCTTTAAGCCACCTTTTTAAAAGTCTCTAATTTTGGGTCTCTCTAGTTTCACTAAAAGAGGTGAATTATTAGTAAAGATGTGCATGCTAAGCAACTCCAGTCATGTCCAACCCTTTGCGACCCCGTGGACTGTAGCCCGCCAGACTCCTCTGTCCATGGGATTCTCCAGGCAGGAATACCAGAGCGGGTTGCCATGCCCCCCTCCAGGGGATCTTCCTGACCCAGGGATTGAACCTGCATCTCTTATGTCTCCTGCACTGGGGGGCAAGTTCTTTACCACCAGCACCACCTGGGAAGCCCCATTAGTAAAGATATATCATTTTAAATTAGAACTTTTTTGGGCCATATGGATCTGTTAGGAGCACTGATGATGAGTGATAAAGTCACTCCATTCTACCCTCCTTCATTGTTCTTTCAAGTTCGAGTTGTTGAGACCTCTGGGGGGTTCTGAGGAGAAAACTCTCCCTTTGGAGAATCTCATAAGTCTCTCTGCATGTGCACTGAGATGAATCCAAGCCCTCACCAGCCCTGCGGGTGGCTTCATTCAAACAGGAGTCCGAGGAAACACAAAGATGGTGTAGGAAAGAAGACGGCTACACAGAAGCGGGGGGAGGCACCCAGGCACACTCATTCTTGGGCAGGGAACATGGAGAGCACTTGACCTCCATTTTCCTCTTCAGCTTTGACCTCGGCTTTTTGTGATTTCTGGAGGCGTGGCTTTTCTCTTACAAGCCCTGACACAGCCTCTGTTCTTCACCTCAAACAAGCTTGTATTTACCAAAGGTGTTCACAGCTTTGGTGGTATCTAGGAATTGGGTCTGCCTCGCTCCCCATCCCTCTGTGTGGGGGTGATGAGCGAGACCATCACGTGCTTTCACCGTTTCATGCTTGGCCACGGCCACGTCCTTCCTTCACTCAGTCAGCGACACTCCTTGGACCTTGCATTGGGTGCCGGGCAGCGCTGTGTTCCAGGCACAGAGATAGAAAGATGCAGGGGCAGGCTGGCTTTTTGCCCTCATGAAGCAGATGTCTACTGGAGAAAGCTGGATCTCTCTCACACACACAGACACACACACACACACACACACACACGAGGGTAGAAGTGCCAGATTGCTTATTTTTTAAAAAGGTCAAGAGTGACCGAGTGGCCGCTTTCTACTGGGTGCTCAAGAAAGGCTTTTTAGAAAATGACATTTAAGCTGAGATCTGACTGACAAGAAGAACCAGACATAGGGAGGGTGTCAAAGCAGAGGAAGTGGCGAGTGCTGAAACCCGAAGGAGAAATGGGCTGGGCAGTGGTTCACAACAGAGGCTATTTCACCACCCACGGGACACTTGGCCATGTCTGGAGATATTTCTGGGTTGTTTTTGGACTTTCCTTCTGCAGGGGGGTTGGGGATGCTCCTGGTGGCCAGTGGGTAGAGGACTGCTCAGGATAGTTCCGATGGCGGCACAACTGAGGTTAAGAAGTCGGGTGTTATAAGCTGGGACAGAAAGGCACCGTGCCCACAGCCAAACGTGCACGGGGCAGGGGCAGAAGGCACGAAGCAGGGGCTGGGTGGGTGCAAGATTACATGGGGCCTCTTCATTTGGAGGAAGAAGCGTGATTGCTACTCTAAGTGTAACGGGAACCTGCTGGAAGGATTGAACCAGAGAAACGCGGTATTCTGATGGGCATTCACAAAGACCACAACAGAGACTCATCTTGCTGCCTCCCTTCTCTCCGGTTCCCTTAGTTTGGCCCTGCTTCCAGCTCCCACTTCATTTGGGCCTCTGTTCCTGCCAAGTGCAGCCCTGGGGACCAAATGTCACCCTGTTAAGTGTTTTGTGAAGAGATGCCTGAACTTTATGCAAGCTGATAATGCCACTGAAATGACACCGTTTTCACTCCCTTTCCACGAAGAGCATTCCAGGCTGCGTACTGTCTTTCTGTTTGCAGGACAATCTTCTGCTGAGCTCTAGCAGGATCACTTTTCCTCCTATTTTAAGCCATATCTTTCTCACTCCTCCTGTCACTATCCTGGCCTTCTTGGTTCTACCCAAAAAGATAATGAAAATCGTCTCCAACATGACTGTGAGACGCTATGAAACGTCAGGAGCCTTTCTTGGTCATTAGCCCTTGATAAATGTCAGCTCTGTGATGAGCATGTCTAAGCTGCTCTCCTTCCTTCTTCTGAGTCTGCCCATTGTCTGTGGGTCATTCTCTCCACGGTGCAGCGCTCTGCAGAGCCCAGAGCACAAGCCAGGCGGCATCTCACCAGCTCTGCTCGGCTCTGAGACGCTGGCGAGAGGCAGTGTTGTCAGCGATGACGGATGAAGAGCTAGGGCATCCATCTGGGTGTGAACTTCCAAGTTCAGTGCTCTTTTCACCAAGCCTCCTACACACTCTCCTTGCAAATATGAGTCTCAGAGGGCGAGGACCCGGCTGGAGTTGTTCACGGTCAGGAAAGAATCTAGCACAGCCCTGCGTGGACAGCAGTACCTGGATTTACCAGTGAAGAAATGATGTATGTTTCTCTCTCACTCCCACTGTAAAATAAACATATGTGAACAAGCCTAGGCTGTTCCCTCTCTGTCATATCTCATTTCATCCCTCCCATATGCACAGACATTCATAAGCCCAGAAGGGGATTAAGGAGTTGGTAGGAGTATTTAGGGGAGATGATCCTGAACTAGGATCAAGGCCAGGAAAAGAAGCAGAGCTCAGACTGGGGCTGGGGCCAGGACTGAGGTCTCGGCTGGGACCATCTCTGGAGATGGATAGGGTAGGAGAGAGGAAAAGGAATGTAAGGGCGACAACATTGTGGGCAGCGCTCAGAGACAAGGGCTTGTGTGGGAGTTCAATTCACAGTCAGATCTACTGTTACTGGCCCGATAATAAAGCAGCTCAAACTCACTTGAATCAGACACATGGGGTCTGCTAACACTCAACTAAAATTAGAGGCTGAAGTTAATCAGGCAGAGTGCCTACCTCCTATTTGGTTTGGTTTTACCTCTTTATTACTGGATTTCCTTCATGTAAGCTATTTTTTATGAATTTTGCACAATAGCTAAAGCTAAAATACCTTTTAGCAATTTTTGAGAAATGAACAAAAATATTTGTTCATAAAGAACTGACTGAAATCATTGCTTATGCATGTTTAAAGCCTGCAAATGTAATGAAAATGCCAAATCTTTTGCAAGAAGCTTGGAAGATAAAATAAGAAACAATACTGAAGAAATACTGGGGATACCTGAGGTCTAACCATCCATTAGGGGCTCTTTAGAGGTAACCACCTCATCTGTGGGCTTTCCAGGTGGTGCTAGTGGTAAAGAACCCCTTTGCCAATGCAGGAGATGTAAGAGACACAGGTTTGATCCCTGGGTCAGGAAGATCCCCTGGAGGGGACAATGGCAACCTACTTCAGTATTTTTGCCTGGAGAATCCCATGGGCAGAGGAGCCTGGTGGGCTACAGTCCATGGGGTCACAGAGAGTCAACTTAGCATGCATGCATGCACCTCATCTGGAAGAGAGGCAGTTCCATTTCAGTCCCCAATATACGCTGTCTCCTAGAGACGTAAGAATTCTATCCTTAACACTCATCTATACTCACTTCCAAATTTGGGAACATTTGTAAGTGGAACTCAAAGCAGTAGATCTGGCTTTTTAAATAAAAAGTTACATTTAAATCAATCTCTGCTCTTTATAAGCTAAATACCATTTGTCATTTCTCGGCCATCATTCGAGTTTCACCCACACAGAGGCCACAAATTCTGGGCCATGGTGAGGCTGTGGTCAGCCCGGTGTCCGGCCAGCTAGCTAAAGATAACCAGCTAGCTTACTGGGTCAGGACTAAAACAGGAAGAGCACTGTAGAGTAGTCAAAAATATATTAAAAATTTTTTAATGTGGAGAGAAAGAAAACCCAAACTTTTCAATAAACTGAAATGTCTCCCATAATGGTAAGATATCTAGCTAAAAGCAAGGTTATTATTTTTTTTTTCTTTTATGGCAACTCTGTTTTTCACTAGTTGTGACAACATGTTTGGTGAAGGGATATTTTACTTCTAAATGGAAAGAAACAACGTGAGCTAGAAGCTGGGTGGGGAGCTGGGTGATGTGGCTAGGGGAAGATAGCTAAGGGTTTCCTGGTCCAAGCCCATAGAAGAAGAGTCTCTAATCTCTGCAGAAAGGATACTGATTTCATTGTCCCTCTGCTGCAGAATATCACGTAGCTTTTTATACTCTTCCTCTTTCAATGGTTCTTGGCAGTTCTGATCTTTGTTTTCAGAGGGGGCTGTGCTCTGTCTGTGGATCTTCTTGTCATGCAGTAGTTTCTGTAAGATGAAAGAAGAGCTTAGCATCCATACCTCTATTCCCAGTGTCTTTGTGTCTCTGATTCTTTTCTCCTTTACCAGTGCCTTGCACACATTAGGTATCCCCCTCTGACGCCTTGCCTTGCAATGCAGTTGCCTTTGCGGCAATGTGTCTTCTCCCCCCACCTGTCTTCTTTCCATCCTCCTTCATCATACCCCTCCCCCTTATCTTGTCTTTCCCTCCCTAACATGGGGAATTCCTGCTCAAACACTGTCTTCTCTTGAACTTCTTTTGCTTTCTCTATAACCTCATACTACTAACTCACACTTTAAAAAAAAAAACAGTGTTCATGTATTGTAATTATTCTTTACATATCTGTCTCCTCTGTGACTTACTTAGTCAACTTTGCCTTCTCCATGCCTAGTCCAGAACAGACTCACACAAATATCTATTATCTTAATGAAGTATGCTAAACTATAAGTCAGGCAGACACAGAGGTTAAGGATATTCACACTGTGTCATTATGAAAGTAAAACCTAAGACCAAAGCTGCTGAAGAAAAATGAAGGACACAATTCTTTTGACATTGCTCGAAAATAAGTGGATTTTAAACATGAAACTATTTTGTGTAGAAGGTAGAGAGATTCCTGGCCAAAGCTTTAGAAGTCCAAGGTCTGAACTTATCCATTGGAAAGTAAGATAGAACCTCTGAAGAAATTCAGTGATCATCTGTTTGAACCATCTCAGTGGTTCAAAGACCATACTGTTCTGGAAATGGGAAGCTGGCTCCTCAACCTTTCAAGAGCAGGTCAACTAGAAAAGCTTTATTGCAGTTTGAATACAGCAGACAATGGCTTCTACTAGTGGAAATGTTTAAATTTACCTTCAAATAATGGAAACAGTGATGAATTTTACGCATATCAGCGCCAACCTCTAGTTTATTCTCTGGATCCTGGTCTTCCAAAAAGGATGTTATTAGTTTTTCCAGCCTAAAAATACATAATGTATGAGAATCAACTACAAGCTTGAAACTTTAGAAATTTTAGTGGCATTACTTTGTTAGTTAACATTTGAAGTACAGGATATTGTTCTCACTTCCTTATGAAAATACAGTTATCCGATTTGACTATAAACATTAACGGGGAAGAAACAAATTGGCAAAGTGAAGTCTGGAAATGATGCAATTATTTGACTAATTTCCAGTGGACTTTCACATGCAGATTTCAATTCAAGAATCATTTGATTTCTACAAGATATGCATTCTAGCCAAGCTTTCTGGGCCCCTATGCCTAACTGCAACACTGCTAAAGATAAAGTAATGAAAAAAAATTTTTTTTATTAGTTTCATTGAAAATTCCTGCTGCTCAGTCTGAGCTGGGACCTTAGTGGTGCCCCAAACCCTTTGACTCACTCCTGGTTGACATACAGTATTCACAGTGGCTCTTCCAAATCCTTCCACAGCCCCCAGCCCGCCACCTTGCTTTCCTCTCCATCAATAATGCAGCTCCGCACTAGACTGAGAAGTCAAAGTTGTTTCAAGTGGGCTCCTTCAGCTACCTTTACCTCCACCTGCCAGTGTCTCTGTCTCACCTCTCAGGCCCTCTTCCTTCTGATTGTGGATAATATGCTTCCTCCTTCTCATGGCCAACCTCTCCCCAGACTCTCTTCAGGCTCCTAGCAGGCTTACCTGATTAGTTACCTCCTTAGTACCTCTTCATGCTGATCTTTCCCTTCTCTTTACAATGATTTTCATGCTAGTCCTATTCTAAAACAAATAAAAAATAGAAAACAAACATCTGCCTTTGGAAGGAACATCCAGGCCACCCCAGGAAGTTTAGTTTGTGGCTTATAGTGTCCACACTACATTCTAGGGTCTGCATAGCATCTTTGCTTCCCTGTTAGTTTATGAGCATCATGGGGCAATTCTTGACTCAATTCTTCCTTGTGTTCCCTCTCCCTGACCCTGTATCTAGAGCATCAGTATAGAATCAATGGAATGATTCCTTCTATGTTGAGATAAGATTCTTGATAAGGAAGGTATAAGAATGGCAATCACTATCTGTGATGCTTACTATCATTATATGGCAGCAGTCTATCTTTCTCCCATTGTTTTGAAAATATCTGCTCACTTTCAGCATCATTTTGAACAGAACACACTTCCTTTCCACTAGTACTACCAGCCTACTCAAATAAGATGTAATGATTTCCTTCAGACAACAGAGGATGAGATGGTTAGATAGCATCACTGACTCAATGGACATGAATCTGAGCAAACTCTGAGAGACAGTGAAGGACAGAGAGGTCTGGCATGCTGCAGTCCGTGGGGTCAACCAAGAGTCGGATACGACTTCGCAGCTGAACGACAACAAGCAGCTTTGGATGTTATTCTTATGTCTTCCTACAATCTGCGACAACATGACAGTTGTTGCTTCCCAATTTGCACTGTAATTTTTAAGGAGCATCTTTGGGTCAAGGGGTACTTATTTGTACCATTTGCTGATTGACATAATCTTACTTTGTAGCAGGCTTCAAACTGTCAGAGACATAGAGACATTAGTTCCTGATACAAAATGTGTTTATGTTTTTATGTGAAATATTATAAAAATAGATATTTAAGGAAAGAATTCCAAACAACACAGATGTGAATAAATTGAAAAGTAAACACTCCACTCTTCTCCCTCCCTTGCCACCATTCTCATCTTTATTGACTCTCAATACTTTGGGGAATCCATGGTTAGCAGCGGAAATACAATCTTCTAGTTCTTAATGAAGCAGCTACCTATAGCCTTATGTGCATTTGTAGACTTCATTTGTTTATACAAAAATGAGATCACACTCTGAATCGAGTTCTGTATCATTATTTTTCTAAACAACTTATCAGAAATAATATTCCATGCCAGTACATATATAATAGAACTATTTCATTTTTAATGGCTATATAATATTGTATAGTGTGTGTCCTGAGCCTCTCATGATAGACACTGAGGCAACATATTCATAATTGCTACTTTCTTCTATTACTCATGAGGAGACCTGAACGCACAATTGCCAATTAACCAAGTTTCAAAATGTAGCAATGCATATCCATTTGTATTGGCCCTGAATACTTAGCAAAAATTCTGAAACTTTGAAAATTATCATTAGTTCTAGAATTTACCACAATAGTAAATAGAATTTACTATCCTCTGGGTATAAGTGTTTTTTGGTTTCCAGTGTCCCTAAAATTTCAAACAGCCAATATTAGACTGGAAGCAGTGGCTAGTAAATTCTTCTGCCTTGCTTTTTCTTTCGAAAATAATTTCTCCTGTATAGTATGATCATGAAGTAAATATTCTAGGAAACACTCCATTAAGCAGGACTGAAGTGGGTTATAAGTTCACAAGAAAGCACTGTAAGATTGTACAGGCCTGCTGATTAGCTGAGTTAACTCACAGATCACTCTGTGTCACTGGACTTTGGTCGTTACATCAAGACTCTTGTCTTGCACAATAAAAGTTTAGGATACAAGGAAGACCAGGAATCCAAAGAAATGGTGAAGAACTTCTGCCTAAATGAAAGAAGTGGATTGCTTCACCCCTCCTGAGACTTGATTAGTTGGATATAAAAGTAAGAATGAAGATCAGGTCTTTTGACGTGCAATTTTTTTCCCTTAGTACTTGACACAAAAGAGCCTCTTCAGATAAGAAAAAAATGCCTGGTCTTCCCTTCATCCATTAAATGATTTATTGCTGAATTAATTTTCTTATCAGCCAAGGACTTGGCCTAACAATTAAAATGCAGAAAAATGCCTATTCAGATGTTTCTGATGTACTCCTCTCATAGTTAAGAGTGAACGATTGACCCTAAATTCCCTGCATTTTCCTATCTCCCAAAATAGTTCCTAAGTTCATACCTAGTCACTGCTCCCACTGGGGGTCTCCCAGCTGCCAGAACCCTGCTGGCCAGTGAAGAACTGTCTGCAGGAAAGCTCTCCCAAGAGGTCAAGTGAGTATGATAAGTCTGTTCTTTAGGATAAGCCCAAGTAAACAAGAAATTTTACTTGTTCTCTGTCGCTAGGAAAAAAAGAAGTAAAAGAATCCTATTGGAGAAGTAAAACTAAATGCATGCCGTTCAGTTCGAGTTCATATGGACAAGAAAGATGGTAGATAATCTATGTGCCTGAACACTAAGCCTGGCTGGTAGGTGACTGGAGGATATTAGTGATGATACTTGTTTCCACCAAACTGATTGTTGATGAGACAGCGCTGACAGCCTGTAGCTTAGATCAGCAATTCTATTGTACTATAAATTTTGAGCCCTGGCCATATCACAAGCTGTCGTTGCTTAGTTGCTAAGTCATGTCCGACTCTTTGGTGACCACATTGACTGTAGCCTGCCCGGCTCCTCTGTCCATGGGATTTCCCAGGCAGGAATACTGGAGTGGATTGCCATTTCCTTCTCCAGGGTATCTTCCAGACCCAGCAATCAAATTCAGGTCTCCTACATTGGCAGTATGGTTCTTTACCACTGAGCCTCCTGGGAAGCCCATGGCCACACCAAAGAATTGACCATAATTTCTAATGCAAGCTTTATCCCCTCAAGACCACTGGACTACTTTTGTTTTTGCTCCCAACATTTCTTGCCAAAAAAAATAAAGATTTATCTACAGTCATATTTTTGTGGAAATTTAGGTTTAGTAGTGTGACTAGAAAAGGAAAACCAGTTACTTATCATCAACAATAGCTGGTATTACTTGGGCAAGCACTAAATGCTAGCTACTGGCCCGTGCCCTTTGAATACAACATTTCCTTAATCTGCACAACAACTAGATGGGCTGAGTACTATTATTGTCCTCATATCATAAGCAAAGCACCTGAAGTACAGAGAGGTTATATGTCTTGCCCAAGGTCATACAGCTAGCAGACCGCAGAGCTGGAATTCAAACTAGGGGAGGCTGACTTCAGAATTCAAGTTTTAAACACTGTGCTTACCATCCTACATTTAGTTACTACATTTATTTAAACATCATGCTGGGCAATGTATTTCTAAAGGGCAATGCCATACCATTTAGAATTTTTTGAAAAGGTAAACAGTCAAATAGACAAGAGGGAAATAACTGAGTTGCACTTGCTTAGATCTTAATAAGGTCACTGACTGGCATGCTTTATAACAGCAAACGAGGTTGGGAAAGAATCAGAATGCCCCACATTAGGAAGTTAAATAAATTATGGCATAATTGTTTACACTGTTAGGCAGCTACTTAAAATGATGGTGAAGAGGTATATTTACCGGCATTAAAATAGTCATGACATGCTATGATAGGTTAATAATGAATCCCTTTACAGGGATTCTGCAAGTAGCCTGCAATGCACCCACAAAGAAGACACGAGACAAGAAGGAAGGAAGGAAAGACAGAAGGAAGAAAAAAACCCTGAGACTTCTGCCCAGTTGCCTTTGGCTCAAGAACATTTATTATCTCCTTGTGAAAAGAGAGACTAGCGATCCAAGAGAAACTTGCTCTTCTGCAGTGTTTTTATCATTATGTTACATTCAACTGTTTATTAAATGAAGTTCATTGTTTATACACTGTGCACGATTACGATGTTCTCATTATTCTAAAATAATCTTTGTTAAAAAAAATTCAGCATGTTCCTGTCAGCATTAGCGTCTCTAAAATAATCTTTGTAAAAAAAAAAATTAGCATGTTCCTGACAGCATTAGCATGTCCAAATGAGTTAGAAACCAGGTCTCTATGGTACTGGTTGTGGGAAAGCTGGGGGAAAAGAGGAATGAGTATAAGCAAGGAGCACGCCTAAACTGGGACATGGAAATCCCGGCTGGTTCTAAACCCCAGGACAGCTATGGGAAGTGTGGCCCAGAGAGTAACCGGGGGACAAAGATGGCAGAAGTGTCCTATGACACAGGCTTATTCCAGGGAATTAATGGGGAAAAACAAGGTTAGGGAGTGCAAGGCACTGGGACTTTATCCTTGGATACTGAGCTGGAAAGA